GCTGTTATTGGTCTAAAAAAAAATTTGCTCAGGGAAATTCGGGCTGGGGTTGGATCGAAAGGGACCAACAATACTAGCCTAAGTTGTAAGAGCAATGTTCACGGCCGGTTTCCCTGGTTGTTTGCGAGTTGAGTCACTCCGGGGGACAGAATAAGGTGACAGTGACGCCAGTTCACAACATGCTCCCTCGCTGCTGGAAACGAAAGGTTTGATCTCACTTACTCATTAACTCTGCCTCACTAACTCGTTTCCTTTGCCTACTGCATGTTAGCTATTTCTGTTGTTGAATTGTTCGTGGGTGGTTGGCAGCTGCTCTTTTCCTTCGAAACACCTATCGTGGGTGGTTGGCTGGTGCTCTGGTGTGGTTTGCTCTTTCTTTCCTATCACACATCTATCGTCCTGATCTCTCCTTCTTGTTTATGTTTGTCACTCTGTTGTAACACTTCTAATCTTCGGCACTTGTATGACCTTATCGTGTTGCAAATGCCGTAAAACTCTTTTATTAAAAAAAACAAACAACACCTATCGTCTTTATTATTTGCTCTCTCTTTTCTTTATAATAATACGTGTTCTTATGGTACTCTCTTTTAGCTCCTCTAAATCTTGGGCACTTATATGACTTCATTATGTTTAAAGTTCCGTAATACTTTTACGTGGGTAGTTGGCGGGTGCTCTGGTGTGGTTTGCTTCTTCTTTCCTATCAAACACCTATCGTCTTTATCTCCCCCTCCTTCTTTTACTTTTTGTCTTTGTTACTCTCTTGTAACACCTCTAATCTTCGGCACTTATATGGCCTTATTGTGTTGCAAGTGACGTAGAACTCTTACTAAAACTACTAACATAAACGTTTACTAAAACCTTTAGAAGCAATGGAAAACTGTTTCATTTTGTTGCATCCTCTTATTCTTTATGACTTTTGTACTTTCATGACAACGTTAAAGACTGCCAGGAGATTTCAGATCGTTGATTGTGACGGTGAAGAGACAAGAGAGATAACCAACGTTTTATAACGTGTTTTTTTGGTCATGTGTTGCCGCCCTTGGGCGCTGTTTTCCCCCTACCTGTTGTTAGTTGTGTTCAGACTTTCAAACGTTGTGTTTGTTTTGTGTGTGTGTGTGTGTGTGTGTGTGTGTG